GGCGCCGGCGACGCATTCGCCAGACACCCCCTGCGGCCGGTCGTGCTTGAGGACCTGGGTGTCTGAGGTGTCTGAGCACACGCGGCCCAGGGTGCGCTGCTGGGCATCGTGCTTGCGGTCTGCCACAGGATGGAAGACGTGTTCGAGTCTGGCGAGCAAACTGCCGTCGCGCCCCGTTGAGAGCGCACACTCCTCGACACGCTTCTGCCAGGTGCATCGCAACTGCAGCTAGGTGAAGTCGAAACAGTCCGCGGCAAATCAGGGCCGCATACACTCGTCGGTGGACGATCGCCGCGCCGTCGACGCGCTCCGCCAGACTGACGTTGCATCGGCGCAGCTGGCAGCAGATTGGCGCCCCAGCGAGCGCAATAAGACAACGCTGGTGCGTTTGGCCTCTGGGGCCAACGGCCCGCGGCAAGCCCGACGCTGGCACGCGACGGGGCAAGCGGGCGTCGATCATCCGCCGCGACGCTTGTCGTTTCCAGGGTTGGCCACGCTGGCCAAAGCCCTAGACCCTGGCGCACTTGGTAGGGAGAAGGAGTCGAGGATGAGGCGAGCCTCGCCCCCGAATGCTTCGCGCGTAACCCACCGCGCGCAGCAGTCGGCGTCGGGGAACGCGCTGTCGAACAACGGATTTCTGGCCCCCTCGAAATCTGCGGCGCGGGCGGCGTCGAAGCCGCGGTCTCGCCGCGGTAGCGACGCGCCCCGCTCTCGTTCTAGGGCCCAGGCGGGGGCGCCCAGGTCCCGCCGCCCACTCCTGCCAGGGCAAGTTGGCGGGGTCAGCCTGGAGGGCCGGCCGGGCCACTTCCCGGCCAGGCAGCCCCTTGGAGAAATCGGCGCCACAGGCACCGAGAGACCCATCGGACGTCGCGCTGCCTACCTCTTTCGGGATGGACCCTTAGCCGAAGAACGTCACACCCGCGCGTCCAAAGCCTCAGGATCCACGGGACGACGGAGGAAGGTCGGGAATGCTGGGAACGACCACGTTCTCGACATCGTCGACGACGCACTACATGATGAGCAAGGTGATGCGACGGACCTGCTGGACCACGCACGTCAGCCAGCGGCTTTCGACAGGATTACCTTAGCCAACCACGCCGCCTACGACATCGACGCCCTAGCGCGAGTCCTGAAAAAGAGGCAACGCGAATGCAAGCGCCCAGGTGGCTGACCTTCGAGGGCAGGGAGGTCGTCGCCTGGGCCGCAGACTAAAAGGCATGAAGGCCATCGCCCGCGCCCTCCACGGCCAGAACGCAAATGCTGCACTAACTGGCCACGCCATCACAGGAAGTCGCTGCGATGGGGACGCGCACCTCGCAGCGCGATGCCACGCACAGCGGGGCTCACGACTTCTCCTCGAAAGGACGCAGCCTCACCCCCTGGGCCCCGTGGGCCAAATTCACAGCGAAGCGCAGTCGGCAGAGGTTCGCCCAGGCGCCGACGTCGACAACGACGCCTAACTGGCCAGGTAGATCGGCGCTCGCCAGGTAGCACGGCGACTCGCTCCCTGAACTCGCGCCCGCGCCCGACGAAGTCGGCCACCACGGGGGCGTTGATCTGCGCGTCGACGCGCGCGCGTCCAGGCGGGCACCCCAGGGCGCCGCCGCGCCCAATACGGACGCGAAGCTGGACGCGCTGCCCGGCACTGGCACGAAATCTGGCCGGGGCGCCCCCAGGCCAGGGACCGGTCGAGAAGCCCGCGCTAGCTCTTGCTGCGGCGGGGCCCCACCGGGCACGCCCCCATCTTCCGCCGCGAGGGGTGGCGCCGCGAGCAACGGACCCGCCCGCGCACGATCTGCACCAGCGAAGCGGAAATCGGCGACGACGTCGGCCGGGCCGCGGCACGCAGGACCGCGCGCAAAGCGGGCGTCCGTGTACTGCATCAGCTGCAGATGGCACGCGCGGCGCAAGATGCGGCGCCCATGCAGACGCACCACCATCTCGCCGCGCAAGAAGGCCTCGAGGCAGACAGGGCACCCGCTATCATCGCCCGTGAAAACCGCAACGGAAGGAGACTCGGCAGGTGGAGCGGCCGCCACAGGAGGAGGAAAAACAAGGGGTTATGTCAAGCTCTGCGCGGCCTGACGTCGCTGCCAGTCCTGCTGCCGCAAGGCTGCGCGCTGTGGAGCTCGTCGAGGCGCCGTCGCTGCGCGCGGTCGATGGCGGCGCCCACGTCGCGCTCGGACCAGCCGCCGCTGACCATCCAGGCATCGCGGCCGGCGAACCGCATGGCCACCCTCCCTGACGGTTGGCCCACGTCGACGTGGCTGTTCTGTTTGATCAGAAACAGCTCCTGGGGAGGCTCGGGCACAGGCGTCGACGCGACTACCCGCGCGGTTTGCGGCGGCCACGCGGAGCTCGATCCACGCGGGGCGCCGACGCCAGGGGCGGAAACGGCGGGCGAGGAGGCCCAGGCGAGCGCGCGTCGAAAGGACCCCCCCCCCAATACAGACCGGGAGTGGCGCGGCGCTCGCACGGCCGCAGCCCCGGCTCGGGACAGCCCCCCCAAAGCGAGAGAGGACCCCGAAGACAGCAGCCTCGCGGAGAAGGGCAGCGGCGCAGCGGCGGCGAAGCGTCGAGGCAGCTGGAGGCATGGACATGGAGCGGGGACGGAGGGGGGGCGGTTGGAGGGGAGGGGGAATGGGGGGTGGCAGAGGAGCACAGCCGCGCGGACTTGGACAGTGCCCTACTCAAGAATTCGCGCTCGCAGGGCGCAGCTTGCCGCGCGGCGCTGAATGCCGCGCCGCGAGCGAACAGAGCAGAAGGGAGGGGGCGAAGCGCTTCGCCGCCCGCGTCGAACGCAGGAGGGGGCAACGCACCCCCCGGGCGCGACAAACGAGGGGGTTGCCACGGCAATAGAGTAGCCGCAGACACGCGCACGGCCGCGGAAGAAGACGGGCCCGCGCGTCGAAACAGAGATATCGCCACGCAGTGCAGCGCGAATGCAAAGCAGAAAACACGCACGCGCGTCAACGCGAAACCGCCGCCACGCAGCGCAGCACGACTGCGAGGCAGAACATGGGCGCGTCGCAACAAGAATACCGCCGCACTGCGCCGCAAGACTGCGAAGCAGACAGAATGTCGAAACGACGATGCCGCCACAGTGCAGAATGACTGTAAAGCCGCAGCACAAGTGTCAACCATAGGCGAAGTTACAATGAATTGTCCCACTGCGATCCTACCTTGGAGTTGGAGCATTTAGGAAAGCAACATCTACATCTACACCGACACCTACATGTACATCTACACCTGCATCTACATCTACACCAACATCAACAGCGAGACTCACATCTACATCTACATCTACATCTACATATATATATACACATACACATATCCATCTACAGCTACGTCTACATCTACATCCACATCGGCAGTACACCTACATCTACATCTACATCTACAATTTCGCATTGGTTATGCTATTGTTTTGACTTGCATTTGCTTTTGCTCGTGCCTTTGCGTGCCCTGTTATGCTAGGATATGCTGCGCTGTGCTATGATATGATATGCTGCGCTATACTATGCTATGATATACTATGCTGTGTTATGATGTGCTATGATATGTTATGCTGCGTTGTGCTATGCTAAGCAATGCTATGGTGTGCTAAGCTATGCGATGCTGCGCTAGGCTATGCTATGCTGTGCTGTGCTATGCTACGCTGGCCTATGATATGGTATGTTATGATTGGCTATGCTATGCTGTGCTATGCTATGATGTGCGAATGCTGCGCTGCGCTATGCTGCGCTGCGCTAAGCTATGGTATGCTAAGCTACGCTAAGCTAAGCTAAGCTAAGCTAGGCTAGGCTAAGCTAAGTTAAGCTAAGCCAAGCTAAACTACGCTAAGTTAAGATGTCATAAGCTAAGCTAAGCTAAGCTAAGCTAAGCTAAGCTAAGCTAAGCTAAGCTAAGCTAAGCTAAGCTAGTCTAGACAGAGCTAAGTTAAGCTAAGCTAAGCTAAAATGAAATAAGCTAGGTTAAGATGAGATAAGCAACGCTCAGCTAAAGGAACGCCACTGGGGGAACCGCGGGGCAGATCCTGGGGGAACCGCCCGGGGCGCATTACACTGCCCGGCCCATTAAGTTCACCGAGCAAGAACCCGTCTAGGCAGAGCCTAGGTAAGGAAAAATACGCCGAATACGCAGCCTGCCAAGACACGAGGGCGCCGGGCAGCAAGCCGAGGGCGCCCTGACCAACACAAGTCGCGATCCACAACTTCGCTGCGTTCACGCCATAAGGCCAGCGGGCCCCCCGCCCGGCAACAATCCCAGCCAAATCCCAGCCGCCGCTGGGCAACGTCCCAACCAAATCCCCGCCGCGGCCCCGCCGCGGCCCCGCCGCCGCCCAGCCGCGGCCCGGCCGCCGCCCGGCCGCCGCCCCAGAAAAAGCTGCCACCCTCTAAAAAAAACACAGCCAGCAAAATCCCACCCGAATCCCCGCCGCGGCCCCGCCGCCGCCCAGCCGCCGCCAAACCGCGCCCCAGCCACGAGCCCTCCCCCCGGGGGCCCCAACACGGCTTCATGGGACCTCGCAGGAAGAGGGGGCGCGATGGGAAACAGGAAGAACGCGACGGGGGAGCACGGCTGCAGGAGGGGGAAGGAAGACCGCCCGGAGCGAGCGGCGGGAGGAACGGCAAAAAGGGCGCGAAAGGAAAGCGGGAAGGCGGCGAGGGAAATATGGAGAGGACAGAGGTTGAAGGAGGGCGGATGAGGGAGGCTAGAGGGAAGACAACGCGAGCCAGGAAGAGGATAGGAGGAGGGACCATCGATGAGGATTGAAAAAAAATAAGGAGGACAAGGGCAGGGGGGAGAGGATAAGGGGCCGGGCCTGCGGAGGCCTGGGAAGACACCAGTAACGCGAAGAAAAAAGGAGAACTGTTGGCGACGACGAATGCGATAGTGATAATGGAAGCAATGGAAGCAATTCAAACATACTTGAATGGACGTTTTTGGTTCGATGTGGACCTCCGCATCGGCGGGATACAGCGTTTTTGGGCCGCCGCATATTCATCGCGGCAGATGGCAGCGTCGGCGCCAGGGCCGCCGCGCGCGAAACGGACCGGAGACAGCTCAAAAAGAATCCAATGACGAAGCGCGCGCGAACGGCCCCAAAGCGGACGCAATCGCAACGATCCGGCGCCGTTCGCTACGACGCCATCGCTGGCCGCGCCAGCCTGACACAAGCACTCGCGAGAGACTGCCGCGCCATAGCAACGCTAACCGCGCACCCCAAAAAGCCAGCCGCAGGGGAGAAAAAAAAGGCACGTGCAAGGATGGGCGAGAACACGGGTGTGGCCAGCTGGATGTCGGCTGCTTTTCTGTCCGACTTACACTTGGGGGGGTCATTTTTTGCCTGGGCCTCCTCAACGGCGGGCATGGATGTCCAGCTCAGCAATTTCACGTCGGCAGGCAGGGCTGGAGGCACGTCGTCTCGCGCGCTGAGGTCGCCCACCCAGTCGCGCCCCACCGCTTGTCCCAAAGGGGAACGCACTGCCCACTCGCGCCCACCGATGTCGCGTTCATTGCGATGGCACCGTGGAAGATGCCGAGGCCACTGGCGCTGCCGGCACGGCCGCAACTCCAGGGGCCGCCGCGGCCAGCGCCGCCTTCCCCGCGGCCGCCGCGCGGGACGGCGACGCAGTCGCGGGCCCGCTGGCCTCGCCGAGTCTCGCGCGCGGCCCGTGAGCCCTGCCATCTCCGGTCGCAGTCGCAGTAGTCCGGCGCTGAGAAGATCGGGGCGGGCGACGACGAAGACGTCGCGATGGTCCTGAGTTTCAGCGAAAACGCCCACGGGCGTCCTTGGCGCCAGCGCCTGGCTTTAAGCATTGCAAACAGCGCCTCGAATCGCGCGAACGAAAGCCCGGCAGCGCGCGCAGCACCGATGCAGGGCCAGGCGGGAGCGCGAAGCAGACCATGCGCTACGTCGCCCCAGCGGCCCCAGATACTTCGCGACACCCCAGGACCTCCAAGAAAGCCTCATCGACACCCATGGACGCGATAGTCGAAGATTTCTTGCACGCGGCCGCGCTTGCGAGCAGTCTGCGACCCGCTCGCCTGGCTGCACCTGAAAAGGCCCCCGCGTCGACGGTATCGACATCCATGAATCCGCGAAGTACTAGGCGTAGTCTGATGGTGCGCCCCATCTCGCCCTTGCCGTTCTTCGCGAATGTCCATGTGCCCCCACATCTTGATGCCATGATGCTCATCGCGCTTCTGATCCCTGCATCTGACAGCAGTCATTGTCGAACCGCATTTTCAGTTCAGCGCGCAAAGATTTGGCTATCTCGACAGGGGTTGTCTGCATTTCGGCCCACGCTAGGAGGTCGTCTTGCTTGACAGAATCAGCTCTTTTAGACGCGGCTTACACCTATACACACATAGTGGTTATTATCTGGCCATCGTGGAATATGTTGTGCTGCTGTTCTGTCGAGACAACTTCGGCCATTTCAATAATGAAAACATAGCTCTACATGCGAACCGTGATCGTCCGAATCCAGACCGTAGGTCTCGTCGCATTCGGTGGTAAGGGGGGCGAAAAACGTCTCCTCTGCGCCGCCCTGGCAACAGCCCGTCGCGCGCGAGTTCCCTCGCTCCTCACTGGCCACAGTCACAAGCACATGGTCTTCGGCAAGCATCTCGGTACGCACCGTAAATAAGGACTCCACTGGAATTTCCTCCGCGAGTTTCTTTTCTTCCTGGAGTTCAAGGTACTATGCTTCCAAAATGTGCGTTTTCAAATCCATCTCTGACTCCTCGCTGATAGCCGGAAGCCGTCCGTTGTTAGAGGCACGAGCACAGGATCGTCCTTCCTCCTGAGCGTGACCGCTCGATGGCGTCGAGCTCGCCAGTTCCTCAAACTTCGATCGGTCTTCATCGAAGCCCACTGAGGGCTCTGAAGACCTGAAGCGTTGGATGATACGTGCGAGCCTGGACCCAGCAACGTCATGGATATTCAGGGCTGTACCTTCGGATTCGTAGTAGTGGAGTCACGGTGGCACGTCGCTGTCATAATATAGTAGTGTACAACTGCCAGCATAAAGAACTCAGTGGGTGCTCTTAACCAAGCGTACTGTTACTGCATTCTCGATCCGGAAGTAGTCCCTGATAAGAAAAAGCCAGGCGAACTGTAACTTCAACGAGAGTCTACTCGCCGTGACCATTTGCAGGTGGCCCTGCTTAGTTGGCACATAGCCAAACACCATACCAAGTTTCTCCGATGGCAGGCTCGCGATAACGGCCAGCACGGTTCGCATGGCTGTTGTGCCGGAGCCAATCTCGAGGACAATGAATATTTCCGAGTACACTGTGTGACGCAAGTCTGGATACTGTACTAAACTCTTTCGGCCGCCGACCTGTACTACTGCCTGACCTGGGCCAAAGAAATTTCGTGCGATTGGGCATGGTCCACTTCATTATTCCCATTCACCCTTTGTGGTGCTCAGTCCAGAATAGTCAACGAGATCACCTGGTTGATAGTTGCATTGTCCACCTGATGTCGCTTTCGCGCGCAAGGCTCGGTTAACCCTGACTACTGCCGTGGTCTGTGTAATGGTCTCGATATTCACCTCCCTGATGTTTTTATCACCGTTGTGATCGGACGTTTCTGTCCCTCGTTCGCGAACTATCACGGGAAATTCTGGGGGGCAAGCCGATTGTCGGCAATGTAGTACCGGCGTACCGGGTGCGGAGATTCGCCGCCATAGAACGTGAATGCACTGCAGACAAATAGGCCCGCGGGCAATAATCGTGAAATCACCAGAGGGATATCAAGTCTCGTGAGCCCCTCCCACATAGCGTGCAGGGTATGTATTAGAACTCCGCTGCGCGCTTCAATAATCGTGGCATGTTGGCCCTCGGCCAAGTCCAAAATTACAGAGGCCAATCCCGGTTGCATGTACAAGTGAAGGATGTACTGCATAAGTTCTGAAATTGAATGACCAGCCTCAAGAATGTTGCAACGCCGGAAGTAGACCTAGCTTCGTGCACTCCCATCTTAACTCTGCTGTTATCACTGTTATGGCGTCGATCAGAACGTTCATTGTTGACATCTGGCACCCCATATTAGCTTTCACTGTTACCTATATTTCACACATAATCATGATCACAGCTATAGCTTCGAAAAACCGAATACATGTTAATCAACAATTGGCCTTAATCAACCAGCACACTCAATTACATAAAATTATCCCAGTGCGACCCTACCTAGGAGTTGGAACCCCTAGGAAAGCAGCATTAGTAGTAACAGTAACGCTAAGCTAAAGCTAAGCTAAAGCTAAGCTAAAGCTAAGCTAAAGCTAAGCCACAGCTAAGCTAAAGCTCAGCTAAAGCTAAGCTAAAGCTAAGCTAAAGCTAAGCTCAAGCTAAGCTAAAACTGAGCAACAGCTAAGCTAAAGCTAAGATACAGCTAAGCTAAAGCTAAGCTAAGCTAAAGCTAAGCTAAAGCTAAGCTAAAGCTAAGCTAAAGCTAAGCTAAAGCTAAGCTAAAGCTAAGCTACAGCTAAGCTCAAGCTAAGCTAAAGCTAAGCTAAAGCTAAGCTAAACGCTAAGCGGAAGGCTCAGCGAAACGCTAAGCTAAAGCTAAGCTACAGCTGAGCTAAAGCTAAGCTAAAGCTAAGCTAAAGCTAAAGCTAAAGCTCCCAGGGGACTGGGGGGAACCGCTCCCAGGGGACCGGGGGAACCGCCCGGGGCGCTTTCCATTGCCCGGCCCCTTTAAGCTAAGAGAGTAAGAACCCTTCTAGGCAGAGCCTAGGTAGGGAAATAGAAGCGGCCATCTTGCAAACTGGAGCAAAAACAGAAATCAAATAATCACAACTGCCCCACCAACGAAAACACGTCATCCCACAAGTGACTGTCAGTGGCTAGAACCAACGAATCATCTAAATCAGCACAAAGACCCCTACAAACGAAAACACTCCTCAGCAAAACATCCCGACAAGAGGTTTGGCCGAAATAAATTACTTCAACGGTGGGACCCCACATGAGAATCGATTTAATGTGCCCCTCGTTTTTTCCCATTCGCTCTGCGGAGGCCCTCCTCCCGCCCACTGCTGCGCCTCCTCCTCCTCGTGATTTCGCCCTCCGTCTCCTCCTCGTTCCCGAATCCGACCCGCAGCGCAAGCGATCACCAACTTGGGAGAACGTGCCCCAGCGTCCAAGCCGCTCAAGGTTGCCTCCCATGGGGACGCCACCAAACAGCTGCGAAGGCCCAAAGGACTCCAAAAGCACGCCAGACGAGCCCAACGGGCCCAGGACGGCCTCAATATGGCCCTTCGCTGATCCACAAAAAACCCAACAACTTCGGCTGTTCCGTGAAACCCCAACCTGCTTTCCGGACTTGGTGCCGCAAAGCGCTGTGGATATTTATGGGTCACTGTTTGATTTGTCGATGCTCCAGAGTAGATCGAGACGCAACATCGCTTCCGAGCTTGCCTCGATAAGTAGTCTCTGGACGAATCGGGCCGCGTGGGAGGCTTCGTGGGTATCCTTTGAGGTCCCAGCCTCGCCACGAAATAGGTCTGACAAAACAGGGGAACGCGCTGCAAAGGCCAATAGAAGGCGAGCTGAGCTCGTGCTCGGCACAGATGTTAATCTCATCTGCGACCAGCCTTCTCGGCGAGGCCGAACGCATGACAGTTCTGGCCTCGCAAAACAAACCTCCAACTAGAGGAAAGCAAACACGTGCAATGCGAATACTGCCATCAAAAGTTCGGCGCTCGCCCTGACACATCAGACGTGGTGTTATGACCTGAAATGTGGCGATTGAAGATTACGTCTGAATGGCAGCAACCAGCGGCGTGGAGAGCGTGTACCGCTGCGACGGAAGAACACCAAAAAACGAATTCAAAACGACCCTCTTCCCCAAAAATGCTGTGAGAACCTTCCACATAGCCCTGGTCCTTACGGCCCACCGGCGGGAATCAAGGTTTGCCGGCAATCTTCCGCTTGGTGAGAGGCAGTCGATCTCAAGCGTCGAAGAAGCAGCAGCGGCTGATACTCTCTGCCCTCCACTTCTGCTGTCAAGCAGGCTGGGGTGAGGGTCCTTCCTGATCCGCCCGCTTGCGCTTGAAGTCCTCGATGGCTTCCACGATAGCTGCAAGCCCGATAATCCTTGCGCCGTCCTCCAAGCTCCCCAGGAATTTGGACCTGTACGCCAGGGCCTCGTCGGGATCTGGGCAGTTCTCCAGCATATGCGTAAGGATCGCCGCATTGTTGGAAGACCAGCCTGTTATCATCAGGAGGTTCAGCCGCATGGGGCCCGAAGGCCTGTTGATGTCCAGACCATGCTTTACATAGAGCTCAAATGTAGCAGAGGTGCCCTCTACGAAGAACCAGTAATCATTCGTGAGATTGTAACCTGCTTTCGGAAGCCACGTGTTGCCTGCAAGTCCAGAGTAAAAGCAGGCATTCCCGTCCATGCCCAGCCCGAACGCGAGGCGGAGGATGTCCTTGTTCTCCGCTGCATACATATACCAAGCATGGACAGCGTCAGCACCTGGGCTCCAGCTCATATAATTACAGCGTGTGTTGTAGTTCATGAGAAGGCCTGGTTTGTGCTGCAGCGAAATGAGCTTACTGGACCATCTGAAAAAATCACCTCCATGCTCAACGAGAAGCTTGGCGCAATCCGCATTGTTCGACCGAACACACTGGATCAGCGGAGCGAAATCCAAATTGTTTGGCGAATTGGGATCAGCACGACTCTCGAGAAGAAGCTTCAGCTTGTCAAAATATCCAGCCTGCGCTGGTCCGGCCAGAATGCTGTTCTCCTGGCCCGTGAGATTCCAAAAAGGACGCTTCATGGTCATCCCGACTTTGGCGTGGACGTCGGCACGGGCATTGATGAGCAGCTTCATGCACTCCAAGCCTTCATCGCCATTGTCCATGTCTGCAGCCATTGAGAGCGCGGTGCACTTCTCTGCACTCTCGGCGTTCACAGAAGCCCTGTGCATTATGAGGGCGTGCACAACCTCCACCCTGCCGCATGACGCAGCAAGCATTAAAGGAGTTAGGCCTGTTGTAGGATCCGCGAAATTCACGTCCACATCATCAACAATACTCAAAGTCCCATCCCAGGCTTTTTGCAAAGTGCCATACGGCTTGAAACCGGCCAGCTGGTCCAAGGTGCTGTTCATATCCCATGCCTTCACAAAGCCAGGGTCTTCACGCCCGCAAGCCCAGTGCCACCACGTATTGTGAGTGATCCAGTTCATGAAATCGTAATCATTCCTATGCTCGCGTAGGATGCGAACTGCCTGCCACTTCTTGCCCATGCTGGCAAGCGCGAAGAGAGAATGGCCCTCATCAGAGAGTAGGCATGGGTGGACGCCCTTAGAAAGCAATGTGTCTAAGACCTCTAAGTCGGGCAGACTGGCCGCATGCCTCAACAATGTGCCGACGCCATCTAGGCGCCAACAATTGCTGTCAACCAGAGTTGGGACCATGACCCGGGCAAGAAAAAAATGACCATGAAACCACCTCTTGTTGCAATCCCTGTCATCCCAGACTACATCCGTTTCGTATTCGTCCCAATGGATTGCAGCAATCATATACCCGGAACCGTCTCCCACCCAGGGCCGGTGGTCCATTGGTGTACCATGAATCGCCTTGTCAAGGATAAGATAGCCCAGAGGGTGGCTGCAGCTGAATGAAAGAGCCATGCTCCCTACCTTCAAGAGTGCACGCTCGTCCTCGGCCAAGATCGCGCAGTACTGCTCGAGAACATCTGAGTCCAGCATCTCAAAGACGTGGAACCACACTTGGAGCCACCAGCTCTCGGACAGCCGCTCGCGGTCCAAACACTGCGAACTGCTAGATAGGATGGAGTTTACGTATGCTCGCATTTTCTTCTGAGAATGAGCATGGCAAACGATCGCCGCGCAATACTCACCGCCCATCAGCTCCTGGAATGACAGGTGCGTAAGCTGCACCTCAGGCTCCGCATCGAACACTTCAACTTTCTCTAAGATGGGCATGCGCCCCTGCTGAAACGCATCCTTCAGCACCACGATCATACCATTGTCGTCTGAGGCATGCTCTATGCCTGTCCAGGAAGTCGAGCGCAGCCTCAATTGGTGCAAATGAAACGACACTGACTGGAAGAGCTGTCGTGCCCGTACGCTCTTCAACATCTCTAGCCTGCGAACCATCGCTTGGTCATTGGCTCCATCCCGCATCGCGAACTTTGCAGCATCAGATTGATGCAACATGAGCTTCACAGCACGCTGGTAGATATCAGTCTTCTTCATGACATCCTTTCGTGCACGGTCATCTGTCAGTGGAAGACTCTTGCCTTCTGTACTCTGAGAGTGGAACTTCCGAAGCACATGGATGAGCAATGTCAAAATGAGGGGATTCTCCCTGAGGGAGGAATAGCCCGGGTCAGACACACTGCTTCGGATGGCGCTGATCGTCTCATGCGCTTCTTGAGCGCGTGTAAGTGTACGCTGCACAACGTCTTCAGCCTGTGGGAGAGTCAAAGCACCCATCCTGAACGAGACGAAAGCCAGCGACGCGAGCAAGTCATACTCCGAGGGTCCCAAATTACCTGGCCTCGATGTGAGAACACAGAGGTGTGACGGCTCGCTTTGCAGTATCGACCGGATGAATTCCAGCACCTGTAACCGAGAGGAAGCTGCCTCGTCCAGACCATCGAACAACAAAAACAACGCCTTGATGTCTTCTGAATGCTGGGGGTCTCCGATAGCTTTCTCGCGTGTTGCATCTTCTCCTTCCGATGCCGAAAGAACAGATGTCCTCCTGGACGCGCGGTCAGCAGCACCAAGGCACCAATTTCGCACAGTATAGACCAGCTTGTGCGGGATGGAATCGTGGCCATGCTTTCTTTGCATCCACTCGGATAGCAAGTCGCAGATCGGGTCGGCCCCCAGAGGCAGGTCCGGGTTAGCCTCAAGCTGCCTAGCCAAGTCGATAAGTGGAGTCCGGACGGGGATGAGGTTCATGCCGCTGATTCTCGTGGTACCCGCCATGTCTCCTGGCTCATCGCGGATGCCGAGCAGCTGTTGCTGTGCCACTTCCGAGAAAAGCTGCTTCGTCATGAGAGTCTTCCCGCTCCCGGAATCACCAATAACGAATACCCGACCCTGATATCTTTCTTGACTCAGCACTTCTGGTAGATACTGCTGGTGGACCATGCGCAACTTCTCGCAGACAATCTTCACGCTCTTCGGCAGCTGTAGGCTACGCGGGAAAATGCGCCCACTGAACTTCACGTCCACTTTGATACAATGGTCAGTCACGTGTACTTTCTCGCGGGTGAGGAAGTCAGTGGACCACGCCTCCGCTGTCCCAATCTGCGCCAAATACCTAGGAAAGTCAGATTCAAACTCGAAAGAAGCAACCTGCACGTGTGTCGCACTGGTACTCAGCCGGCGGCCTTTCTGGCCCTCCCAGACTGTGCGGTACTGTTCAATCCATTCCAGCGCTGTGGGTCCGACGTCAACGCCAGCTTCCCACATCACTCGCTGAGCGCCTGCAAGGGCAAAGAAAGAAGCACGGGTCTTCTGGTGCATGCTCGGCTCACTGTATGATAGCATTCGCGCCGACCACGAGAAGAAAGCTAAAGCGAATGGAACGCCGTCGTTGTCTGGGACGTCGTCACCAATCTCGTAGATGCAGAGACAGTGCCTGATGCGTGTCAGCAGCTCAAGCACAAACGTAGCCGTCGGATCGCTCTTGAGCTGCTCCCCTCCGATTAAAGGCAGCGCTGTTGTGGCATCGGGTGTAGCGAACAGCAGCTTCGCAAACGTTTGGATGTGCGACTCGTTCACATTATCCTCCAGATACAAGAAGAGGCAAGACGCAAGGAATTTTGAGAGGTCCATGAGCACGTGGACGTTGTCCTTCACGGTCGCGAAATCTATCAGCCAGACTAGCCCTTGTGAGTCGAGCAGTAGATTCCCGCCGTGCAAATCGTTGTGCGCCAAGCCACAAACTATTTGCCGGTCAAACTTTTTATTGAATCGCTGCTCCTGCTCAATGAACTCTTGGAAGAAGCGCTTGATGGTAGAACGTTTGCCGCACAACTCACTGACGAACTTGCCTTCGGGATCTAGGTCATCGATGTCGGGTGGCGTCAGAAATCCGAAGCCCAATGCAGCATTGTGTTTGCTACGTTTCGCACCCTCCACAGCTCGATTGAGGATGCCGTGGCCGACAAAGCGGACAATCTTGTACATCTTGGCTAGATTCTCCTTCCTGACGGAACGCGTAGACATCGTGAAGGCAAGCATGCGTCGGGTCAGGGCCTCGTTGACGATGGGCACCACATCAGTCTGGCGCTTCCCAGAAGTAAACTCACCCTGGATTACTGACGCAAAGGTGAGCACAGGTGGGGCAGAAGCAAACTCGGGAAGACCAAATATGCCACCGCATAGGTCAATCTGCATGACAGCACATGGTTCGTCTTCGGAGACGTCTTCAAGAAATTGAGAATCCTTAACTTTCGGAGTTGTCAAGCCAAACAACTTCCCGTACCGCTCGGTCAACTCAATCTCCTCCTTCACGTTGGCAGCAACGTCGAATTTCAGCACTGATGACGGCATGGGTGTTCCGTCCTTGCGGCTGGGCGAGAAAAAGAAGACGGACGCGCCACTGAAACTCAAGGAGATTTGCTTCAGCTTGAACCGTGAATGCTGACGAGCCTCCCCGAGGCATAATAAGGCGCGCCTCTGATTTGCGCTCAACTTGTGCACGTCCCCCTGAAGCACAGCCTCCTCGTCTGACGCCTGCTCAGTCTGCGCCTCATTCCCATCTTCGTCAGGAACGTTGTAACCCACCAGCGCCGCTTCACCTGCAGCCTTTTGCTCCACGGACTCGCTCCCAAAATCTGCTTTCCAGAAAGTCTGGCAACAATGCACGTGCTTATTCGCGTGGAGCGCAATGCCCCCAGGCCCCTTGTCCGCAACTTCACGTATAAGTACCGGGCCCTTGTACGCTTTCTGGTGAGCTGCAACACGCGCTGCCCTCGCATCAATATCCTTTTTTGGCATGTGGAGACTCATCGCAGAGAGACAGAGAGAGCTGCGAGTTTGACGGGTCGAGAGCTCAATGCCACAGAGACTACGTGCAGCGCAACGCCTAGTGGACCCAAAGAAGGCCTGAACCAGAATGGCCGTGGACATCATCAGTATCATAATTATCACCACCACCACCATCACCATTATCATCATCATCATCATCATCATCATCATCATCATCATCATCATCATCATCATCATCATCATCGTCATCATCATCATCATCGTCATCATCGTCGTCATCATCATCATTCGCCGTCCTCATCATTATCATCATCATCACCACCATCATCTCACCACGACCACCACCATCATCCTCCTCAGGAAATGCATCATCAGCAGCAGCATCATCATCATAATCACAAACACCGTCACCATCACCACCATCAGCATCATCATCATCATCATCATCATCATCATCATCATCATCATCATCATCATCATCATCATCATCATCATCATCACCATCACCATCACCAGGACCATCAGCATCATCATCGTCATCATCACCAACACCATCACCGTCACCACCACCAAGACCACCACAACCACCACCAAGACAACCATCACCATCACCACCAGCACAATCATCCTCACCATCATCATCATATTCAGCATCAGCATCATCATCATCATCAGCATCATCATCTTCATCATCAGCATGACCATCATCATCATCATCATCATCATCATCGTCATCATCATCATCATCAGAATCAGCATCATCGTTATCGGTATCACCAACATCAACATCATTAACATCATCAACATAAGCATCATCCTGAACAACATCATCATCATCATCATCATCATCATCGTCATCATCAGAATAAGGATCAGCATAATCATCATCGTCACCGTCACCATCAGCAGCATCATCGTCATCATCAGCATCATAAACATCATCGGAAGCAGCATCATCATCTTAATCATGACCAGCATCCTCATCAGCATCATCATCGTCATCATCATAAGCGTCACAATCATCATCATCATCATCATCATCATTCAGCATCATCATCAACATCAGCATCATCATCACCACCGACATCATCGTTATCATCAGGATCAATGTCATCATCATCGTCGTCATCGTCATCATCATCACCATCATCAGCATCGTCATCGTCATCGCTATCATCAATATCAACATCACCAGCATCATCATCATCAGCAGCATCATCAGCATGATCTTCACAATCACCATCATCATCATCATCACCACCACCACCATCATCATCATCGTCGTCGTCATCAGCATCAGCATCATCGACATCACCATCATCATCATCAGCATCAACATCATCACAACCACCATGATCATCATCATCATAATCCTCATCATCATCATCATCACCATGACCAGCATAATCATCATCACCAGAATCATCATCACCATCATCATCATTAGCATTATCATCAGCATGGACGACAACATCAAAACAACAACATCATCACTGACCGGCCGACCGACTGACCGGGTGACCAGGTGGACAGCTGAACGGCTGACTGGGTGACCAGCATCACCAGCTGACAGGTTGACCGGCTGAGCAGTTGACTTGCTTTCCAGGAGCGCGTTTCTTTATTTTCGGCGATGACGGGCGACATGGGGGGAGGGGGGGCGGGGAGGGGTATGACGTAACACCCCCCGCGAGCAGCATGTAGATGGCGATCTGCCCCATAGCGCCTGTGTATGTGTACACCACAGCGCCTGCGTACACCGCAACAGCCGTGTGCAACGCAGCGCCTGCGTACACCACGGTGCTTTTGTGCATCACAGCGTCGGTGTACACCACAGCGAGTGTGCACACCGCAGCAGCCATGTGCAACATAGCGCCTGTCTACACCACAATGTTTTTGTGCACCGCAGCGCCTGTTCACATCGCATCGCCTGTCCACACCACAGCATCCGCGTGCAACGCATCGCTGGTGTACACCACGGCGCCTGCGTGCACAGGACAGGTAAAAGGAACATGTTGGTGATGATCTGCTGCGGACAGCTAAACGCCACGCCAAGGAAGTGCTGAGAATAGAATGCGACGTTTTCCTTCGTCCCGCCTCCACCTCCACATCCTCCTCCTCCTCCTCCTCCTCCTCCTCCACCTCCTCCTCCTCCTCCTCCTCCTCCTCCTCCTCCTCCTCCTCTTCATCCTCCTCGTCCCCTCTTTTCCTCCTCCCTCACCCTTCCCCCCTGTCGTGCGGGTCGGCGCGACAGCGCACGTGCGCATCTTAGCGTGCACCGCAGAATGGTCGATTGAATCAATCCTCTTGCCTCTTGGACGGCCAATTTCGCTGGAGCCTCCTGGACGCAAAATGGGAGTTACGATGATGTGGGCGGATTCCCGAGGACTCATTGATTTCAGCGGCGTGCCTGTTCCCATTGGGATTCTTTCCCAATCCTGTAGAAAACCATTTCTGTTGAATCCACAAACGCCCCATGTTGTCATAAGGACTATCTTTTCTTTTTGTTTTACAGAAAAATGTATCTGCAACAGCGGTGCTCTGTTGCACACGGTTGCTGAGGTGCACACAGTCGCCCTGGTGCACACAGGCGCTGTAGTGCGCGCGGGAACTGCGGTGTCCAGTGGTACTGTGTTGCACAGGGCTGATGTGGTGTACGCAAGCGCGGTGGTGTACACAAGCGCTGTGGTGCCCACAAGCACTGTGGCACACACTGGCGCTGTGTTGCGCGCGGATGCTATGGTGCACATGTGCGGTGTGGTGTACACAAGCGCTGTTGTGTACGCAGGTACTGTGGTGTACACAGGCGATGTGGTGCAGATCGCCACCGACATGGTGTTGCCACCCGTCCTCGGTCATTCTTGGGCATTCCCAGACGCCGCCGGCGAGAAACATGACGTCATCGGCCCCTTCCCCCACACCCCCAGATGATTGCCGTCATCGGCCTGGGATAAAAGAACACGCTCCAGCCGCGTCCGCGCGCCGACGACGATGAGCGACGAGCGACGAACGACAAGCGAAAAAGACGACGACGATGACGATGACGACAACGACGACGACGACGACGAGTGCGGACCAAATTCCGATGCGGATTCCTATGCGGACACTTATGTGGATCTCGATGCGCACGGCGGCAAGCCGGCTGACCAGTTGACCAGCTGACTGGCTGACAAGCTGACCATCTAACCGATTGACTGGCTGACCAAATGACCAACTGACTGGCTGACCGGCTGACCGGGTGGCCCGCTGACCGGATGACCGGGTAGCCCGCTGACCGGTGACCGGCGAGATGAACCCGCGGGCGCGCGTGGGGCGATCGCGCCCCCTCCTCCTTGCAGCCGGGGCACTCCCAGTGGATCGGGGCGATGTGAGGATAGAAGATGGCGGAACGTTGACTGATCCCTGGAGTGCACGGGCAAGTATGCCCACATGTTGCGCCCGCACGCCTTGCAGGTGTAGCGCGCGCGCTCGGCTGCCACTTCACGTATGATTTCGACCCCCGTGGTTCCAGAGGCCACTGTTGGCAAGGCTACTGAAGGACGTCGCACTCACAAGCACAAATCGCGAGGTGCGGGGGCCTCAGACGGCGGCGTGAATTCACGACGCCCTGGACGAGTCGCTCGGCCATCTTCCATGGCCAGACTGGGGCGTCGAAGCTGTCGCGGCCTTCGACGTGGACGCGGGAGAGTTTGCCCGTGCATCTGAGGTTCGCGGACTGCTCGAGGATGACCGGAGCTTCGGAGACCAGCCCGATGGTCTTTATCAAAATGCCCCCGCGACGATCTCGAAGACCAAGCTGACATCTGGGCAAAGATGACCACGTCCGCGCCTCGGGCTACCAGCACCTCTGGCAATGGCGACTCGCCGTACAGTTACGATGGTTCAGGCTGCTCGTTGACGACGCAGCCGCGTAACTCAAGCTGCAGCAGCGCAAGGCATCCGCAGAATAGGCCACGCGTGGCCGCGTCCTCGTAGAAGCGCAGTCTGGCGTGGTAGTTCTGCTAGCAGTTGAAGAGGGCCCATTGACCGAAGGGACTGTAGGCTGGAGCCATGATGGCTACTAGTGACCGACGTTGTCTATCATATATGCCCACGGCCCGCCGCTGGCACTCGCAGCGAAGGTCACAGCCAATGACCAAGTCGAAGTTCCTGCCAGCTCTACGGCGGCGGCGGACTACCAGTCTGCTAGTTCGCGCCTTTCCACCACAAACCTCGATGATGTCGACGCCGTGGTCGACAGCTGCGAGGTAGGTGGGGAGATGGCGGGCGGCGTGGATTTCGGTGGACTGAGATTCGAACACCAGCCGTTCGGGGGTCAGCTTCCGGCACCAGGGCCGGCGAGCCTCGGAACACCACGTGGGCAAACCTGCGGCAAGGTTGCCACGGCGGCCGCCCTCGTCGCACTTGCCCACGCAGCCTGGATCGCCCAAGGCTGGATGGCCGAGAGGACAAGGGGCTAACCCAGCGGGGTCGGCGCCGCAATCGCCGGAGCGCCCTCGGCGACCTGCTCGCACGTCTTGTGCACATGGCCCTCCTTTATCCTCTTCTTCTGGCGCGCGCGATCTCTGCCGTCGGGCAAGCGCTTGCGAAGCATTCGCCAGACACCCCCCGTGGCCGGTCGTGCTTGAGGACCTGAGTGTCTGAGGTGTTTGAGTGCACGCGGCCGAGGGCGCGCCGCTGGGCATCGCGCTTGCGGCATGCCACAGGATTGGAATACGCGCTCGAGCATGGCGAGCACACTGCCGTCGCGCCTCGTCGAAAGCGCACACTCCCAGGTGCATCGCAACTGCGGCCAGGTGAAGTCGAAACAGTCCGCGGCAAAGCAGGGCCGCATACATTCGTCGGTGGACGATCGCCGCGTCGTCGACGCGCTCCGCCAGACTGACGTTAAATCGGCGCAGCTGGCAGGAGATTGGCGCCCCGGCGAGCGCAATAAGACAACGCTGGTGCGTTTGGCCTCTGGGGCCAACGGCTCGCGGCAAGCCC